ATAATAATAATATGTGAAGCTTTTGCATTAAAATGACAACTCTTTGGACATTTTACATTTGGAATCAATATTTCCGCGAACATTGTCTATGATGTATAATCACGGCAGAGTGATGAACGTAAAACGGAAATATACAGCACGAGGTAAGGATTTCAGAACGTTGGAGCCGAACGAAACGAACGGTGCCGATTAAGCGCCGCTAAACTTCGCCGTCGTCCCGTCCCAATTCTCGGACGGAATGGCGCGGTTTTAATTAGCGGCCGCCGAGCGAGCTTACGGGCTTATAAACTGATAGTAACTTGTCAGTGGGGGGAGTGCCGTGTTATGCGTAAAATGATTTCACAAGCCGCCTTGGGCTGCACGAGTAATTAATCCTCTGGTTAGTATGCCGACCGGCGAGTCGCGGCTTGTTACAACATTCGCGACAATAAACGGCGAAATATCGCGCAAAGGTTGACACATTCCCCGCACGCCCGCCGATCTCCATTATACAGCGCGGCGTGTATTCGCTATCTTTGCTCTACCGACGTATCCGACGTTGTTGAACTTTCATGCCATCCCTCTACGGGCTCTGCCGCATAAACACAGTCGGCCTGATTTAATCCGTCGATCGTAGATAGAGTCTCACTTCGCGGATTCATGCGACTTCACCATGCGACCCAAATGTTACGAGCACCCTTCTCCTCAACACCTCACACTAGATGCCCCCTCCCCTCAGCTCCTGGCTCTTCTATTTAGCTCACCCACGGCAAACAGAATCATGCGTGGGGGGATAAAACGTTTGCGGAGTTCCCCATAATCTCCGCTGCGTTGCAATCCGTGGTTGGCTGCAGAGTACTTAACCAGAATAGGAAAGTAAAATTTTAATGATAAATTAGTAATTATCAATTGTTTATCACGTACGAATCAATTTAAGAATGACTGGTTGTGTTTTACAGAAAAAGCAATTTTGTGTAATTGTAAAATTTTAATATGCCTGATTTTGTTCTTACTTTCTCTAAATGTGTGAAACAATCACATTTAAGAATTTTACAATAGTTTCAAAGCTGCCTTTTCTGCTGAATGCAATAAAAAATTATAAAGATTTGTTCTTTTGCAATATTTAACGTATTCATTTATCTTTCATTTATTCTGCTATATATCGGACACAACAAATAAAAGATAAATTAAAAAATGATAAGATATTTGATATTTTTCATTTATATAAAATATTATAAAATATATGTATTTGATAATTATTTCTGCTTCTTAGAGATTAGAGAAAGGATTAAAAATCGTAGGAAGATGAGGAAAAAGGACACTGATTGAGAAGATAATCGCGATTCACATAGAGTTCTTACGTAACCCGTTCTTTTATTACATATGTCGAGCATATTCATAAGAATGTCTCGCTTCTTTGGTTTTCTTGTAAATAACAACATTCAAATCAACGTCGCAAAGCATAAATATTATAATAATATATATATTATATAACATATATATATTTATATATGTATACCCAATATAGTCCCCCGTAATTCGTATATTTATATATTTATATATTTGTATTTTCATATTTATAATTTGCGTTATGTATACATATATACCTTCGCGTTTAATACGTCTCATCACGCACTTACAACGCTAAGACGGCGCATTTCATTCACTTTTCTTTTTCACGACAATCCGCTTTTTTTTTATTACTTTAGAGCTACGGTCAAAATATCTCTCGCTAAGATTTACCCTTCTTGCGCGTTTCTCCGCGCGTGAGAAACGATGGCGAAAGTACGAAAGAACTTAAAAGTGAAAATTTACGAAACGGAAAAATGGATTAATGATGTTGGTGTACGTGACACGTCGTACACTACCATCGCTGGCTGCAAAGCTTATTCTACGTGCAATTCTTATCACTGGTATACTTCTATTTACAGGGTTCGTTCATGACGAGTCAACGTTCGAGCATTACTTTAGACCGATAATTCGAATAATTCGCATCACCATTTTCCCTTAGTCATTCACAAATTTCATTAAAATCCTTTGATTGTAGTAGGAGTTTAGGGATAACTTTCAAACTATTTCTTTTCATACCATTTTTTTCTTTTACCTTTGACTAATCCACTGTCTCTCAATTTCATTGATTCCGCGTGTGATTCGTGAGTCCAATAGCGGTTTTTATTCTTAATGAGATCTATAAGTTAAGATTTAAAAGAATTGAAAATGAATTCTATATCTAAACCATAACGCTAACGGAAAACGGCATTACACATAGGTGCTACAGACAAGAAATCACTGTCGTTTTACATGCAATCGCATACACGCGTATACATACACGTACATACACATGTACAATGTGGATTCTATTTGCATCATGGGCAGTGATTGGTTCTCAGTAGGCTTTAGAGTTTTTAAATAAGGCCTGAAACTAACGTCTTTACTTGATGTTCTATATTTTTCTTTTATATAAGATTGTAAAGCATAGAGCGCTTGTTATTAACTCAATCCATTAGGTAACGAAATTTTCAAGCGTTATTTAATCCTTCATCGGCAATATTTCATACTTCGTCTGCAATCTGAGTCTTCGAATTTTAGTGTAGATTTTTATATTATGTCGGATTACATAAAAATCTAAAAAAATTCTTACATTCTTATAAAAGCTTTAATAACAAATTTTTACTAACATATTAGAAGTTGGATTGTGTTTTACTTATTTTTTACAGATTTAAATTTGTCCATCAGAATTCACGATCGAAAAATTAACTTTAAGACCAACATTGCCAGCAGAGGGTTAATTAATCGTGCCTATTAGTTTTGTGAAATAAATATTTACTATAGAATAATAAACGAATTTAATTATCTTTAAGTTTGCGAAAGAGTTGCAAAGAGTGATCGTATCTATTATATCTCTCCTACTCAAAATTATATAAAATGAAAATATAAACAAGACTTAGTATATAATTAGAGAGTAAACTGTGATTTGTTAATATTAATATAAAGAAAAATTCAAATACTTATGCATCATTTTGATGGCAAGTAATAATAATAATTGGTCTAAAACTTTATTTAAAGCCTATCGACGTATCGTCCAGAACAATCTATATATTGCTGTGCAATATATTGTGTTTAATTGCTTTTTACCACAATTTTACTTTTATCACACAAACTATGTATAATGTATCTATAAAAATGCTTTTTAATCAGAAATATTGGTTAATCGTTCATGCGTAAATGCACGCAATAAATATGTTTTAATCGATAAGTTGAGAAACAATCGTAACGTTGACCAGATCGGGATTTGAATTCGTCGCAGTAATCTCCACAGATTGCAAACGCTGCGATGTTCCAAAGGCGCGTGATCCCCTCATGTTAAATGCTTATGACTTTTAAGATCGCTAGTCTCGCGAATGATACGATTACAGACCTCATCAGAGTAAGTCTGCGTAATCCCTAAGTCGACCCGTTCCCTTCTTTAATCCATGGCGGGCATTAACTCCTTTGCGCTCCGAGTGCAGGGACTCTCTCGAACCTGTTGCTTTAAACAAGATGTACGCTGAATAATGGATATTCCTAAGTAGTTAGAAGTCCGCTTAAAACCCGGCACGGCCGAGTCGGCCTCTCTCACGACCGCCTACGAATAAATCCCAATTTGATCAATTAATACGTAAATAAATTGATCGCGCGATGCAACAGCGTGAAGCATGGCTCCGATATTTATAGCAAATACCATGGTATGTAATTTACCTTGCAATTATTTCCTGTTGATTCTATCAAGTGGACATTCAACCGGAAAATTTTTGGTACCGATTCAGTTTAATTACAAAACGAATACACGTCGATGTTTTGCTATGTGTAGCATCGATGAACGTAAATGCGTATGAAAAGTTACCATCGGTATTTATTTTAAGACCATCTTAAGTAATGCTTTAAGATACTGATACGATTCTGTGATTGATTGATGACATCTTAAGAGACTATTTAAGACAGTCTTAAATATAAAAATCGAATATGAATATCGATCTTAGAATTTCTTTCTGTTTGTATAAATTGCTTATCTTTAACGCGTTAAGAAGTGATAAAAGATAATAGGTAACAAAAGAGATTCAATAATATATATACTTCTAATAATAACACTTCTGATCATAGTCGCCATCCCCGTCAGATCATGACGTCAGAAGCGAGAAACACGAATCGCGCTTGCATCAAAATAATTTTTTTACATTATCGCAAATATGCTCCGCTAGATAACATAGATATACATATAGTAAAATACGAAAATTCTCTTTACAATTGCATAAATAAAATATACATATAATTTGGTTTACACGCATCCTATATTTCGAGAGAAAATGGATTTTATACAACAGTTGATCGAGATGTAGAATTATAATTATTATTTCATAGAAGTAAGGGGTATGTCGGCACATTCGATAAATATTTTCCATTCAAGACGATTCTCGACATGCAAGAGAGTTAAATTATTTTGAGATACAGAGTATCAAGAAGAAGATAAATTTTAACGACTTTTCACTTCCGATTGTGTATGATTGCGCGCATAGCAGGTGTAATTGGAATTATAATTAAAGGAAGAACATGTGCCTGTACATAACGTGAAAAGTGGATTGCTGCATTCTCAGAGCAATACCGGATTCGTTTGCAACTGGTAGTGTTCGACTTCTTAATGTTACGATATATCCCTATTTCTTTCTTCGCAAATTTTTCATTTTCTTCTTCTTGCCCTCCATTTCCCCCGCTGTTCGTATTTTCTTCGACTGCCTCGCCAGATGAGAACGACTCTCCCGTACCGAATCTGACATTTTAATCTCAAGTATCCAGATGGGCTCCATGATTTCGTACGTAAGGAGGTAAGGATAGGAGATGGAAAGAATTGAAGAATTTAAAATGTACTTGGCAGAACGAGAAAGTTCACCGCGAAGTAAAAAAGTAAAATCGATGGTGAAAATAGTACACAGATTTTATACGTTTTATACAAATTAAAAAAAAAAGGCAGAAATAGTCGATGCTTAAGAAATACATACGGTCGGGCCGTGAGACTACGCATGCAGATAGAACCTGATGTTGATGGAGAATTAACTTCGCTCGAAGCGTGACTAACGCCCATGAGTCGTCTCGGGACACGTATCACCGTGACGAATCTCCGAACACAAGCATTTCTACGTTATTGACGAAATTGAGAACCCTCACTCTCATCGATCGTACAAACGAGAGAAGAAAACTATTTCGGAAGGGGGATATAAGTTCAAAATGTTGGAAAACTAGTTGGCTCGGTGAAACTTTAATTCAGTATTAAGCTCGAACGATTTCGTTTTGATATTCCAGAAATGTCATTTGGTTGCGCGACTGAAATACTCCCCATGTAATGCGGTTTAAAAAACGTAACGACTCACTCTCACACACGTTCCAGGTCGCACTCTCTCTCTCTCGCGGAGACGAGATCACTGGTATTTCTTGGTTTGGCGTCATTGTTACGGCGTTATACAATATATTACACTGAAAGCGATAGTCGTTGCACTTTGTTAATACCCTTTCCTCTCGTTCTCGTTATTCCACCTCTCTCTGTGCGTGTCTCATCCCTCATCGCCGGGCCACACAACGCACAATCGGTGAAGAAAAGATCGATGAGGACTCATGTTCTTTAAAATTCTTTGCCACTCGTGGACTGTTGTCGCTACACTAACTTGGCACGCGTAAATTACTCTCCGTCATTTAATACGGACGCTATCTACTCCAGTCAGTCTTTGTGTTATCTTTTGTAATTTCGTAAGTGTGTGTGTGTGTGTGTGTGTGTGTGTGTATGTGTGTGCGTGTTTGTGTGAGCGCATGCACGTGTATTACTATATACGAGCGCCTGTCTTCAGTGTCGTTTGAATTCTAACTCTTCTTCCTTTTATTTTCTTTATATAATTGAGTCCGTTAATTAGGGAAACCACCGTCGATATCAACGACGAGGTCGTCGTTCGCTTTCTTTTTCTTTTCGAATCTTGCTTATCGAATTATTGTTACGACCAGAGTAATTAGTAGTGGCGTCACCGTCGTCATCACGCCCGTTGCTGAACCTGAAACTAGACAAGATATTTCACTGTTTAAAATTGATACACTGAATGAGGACTTTCTAGATTCAATAGAAGCTATATTTCTCATTGTCAGTTCAAGTACATTTAATATTGATAAGAATCGATAATCTACTTATAACTATTGATATTTTGAACTATTTTAGAACAAACGTCGCACAAATTTCGATACTAATATTAATAAATAATATTAATAAATTTTTGTATTATATTGTTAATAAATTTTTCTAAATCACTTAATTCTTTTTAAATAATTTATTTAAAACATAATATTATATCAAATAAGGGAGCTTAATGAGGCAATTGCGAACACAAAGTAAACATGAACGATAATATATTAATAATATCTATTAGAGTAGTAATAATTTCTCGGATCCAACGATAGTCCGATATACAATCAATTTCGTACTACAACATGTAATCATAGAACACGCTGCTTAAAATAAATACTATTACATGTTAAATAAAACCAACAACTATTTATCAATTATAAAAGTCTTTATTCAAAAATTATTTGATTTTCAACTACATAATTAACTACATAATTTTTTTATTATCAACATAAAATTCAGTTTTAATATAGTTTATATTGATAATATATAAACGTTAATTATATGTAGTTTAAAGTCAAATAATTTTTGAGTAAAGACTTCTATAACTAATAAATGAACATGAATGTTAATTATTGTAGTTTTTAAAACTAAAGTATTTCGTTCGAATAAAAATTTTTACAATTGATAATCGTCGGTTTTATTTAACTTTTTCTTAGTGTTTGCGCAGTTCTTTCGCATTCCCCATATATATGTATATTGTACCAGATTCTAATATCTCGAGAAAACTATAGTATGGAACAATATGAGTAATAATAAGGGCAATGAGCCAAATACTAAACGCAAAAAAAATTTTTCAAATTAAGTATAATATAAAATTTAAACGCGATTGACGAGATTAATAATTTTTTAAAAAATGGATACCCCCTGGATTTTATATTTTCGACTGTTAATAATAGATTAAAATTTCATTTAAACAACACAAATTCCGTTAATAATAATGTTGGTCTCAAAAAGTTTTTTACTGTTCCTTTTGTAAAATAAATTTCAGAAAAATTTACACCTATTGCCAATTCTGTCGACTGCAAACTCGCGTACACTATTCCTAATACACTTAAAAGCTATATTAAAAGAGGTAAAGACAAACTGGAACAAACGCAAAATCGTAATGTTGTATATAAAATTTCGTGTAGTGATTGTGATGCTAGTTATGTTGGGCAGACTAAGAGGCAATTAAAAACTAGACTCAATGAATACATCTCGGATATCAATAAATTATCAAAGTCTCCATCAGTTGTTACTAACCATCGAATAGACAATAATCATAATTTTAATTGGAATAATGTGGAAGTATTAGATGTGGAACCTTCCTACAAAAAGAGGTTGATATCCGAAATGGTTTATATTAAAAAACAGACACATGGCATAAATAAACAAAACGATACGGAGTCATTGCCCGATATGTACACAATATATGATACAGTCCTTCTCTACCTCTTAGACTGTTTTCAGTTGGTTTTTGCCTCTTTTAAAGAATTTATTTCTTCATTGCGTTTCTTGACATTAACATAAGAAATCGATAAAGTTGTAAATTGGATTAAATCTGAATTGTTATAACATTTTATCATTGTCGACATTACATTTTTCACATCATGGAATCTTACATTATTGACATTAGTTATTACACAATTTTTAATAAGGTAACCATCTTTTAACACTTGTTTAACATGCTATTTAAGATTCTTATGACAAAGTATATAAATTTTATTAGATTGAATTTACTGTATTGGATTAACTTTTACATGATGCGAACAATTTCCTGACATTATCTATTGATTAGCGACACCGAAATTTTATAATTTATTTATGTTTGTTACACTGAAGATGACCCGATCGGAGTCAAAACGTCACGTCTGTATTAATGTTTAAATTTTATATTATACTTAATTTGAAAAATTTTTCTTGCGTTTAGTATTTGGCTCATTGCCCTTATTGTTACTCATATTGTTTTATACTTATTGGGCCTTATTTTATATTATATAGTATGGAGATCTTCGCTTTTGCAATATTACGGGAGAAAAAGGGAAGGGTTCTCTCGCCATCGGTAGCCTCGAGAGAGGTCAGTGCACAATCAAGGGCTTGGGACGACGAGAATCTGTCGTTACCCCGTTGCAGGAAGGTTGCCACGGAAGAAACCCTCTCCTTGGAGGGAGGATATGCCGAGAGAACGGAGACGAGTGCAAAGGGATGAGTGCCGATTAGTCGACGGCCCAAGCGAAGTAGATACAGAAGAAGAGAAATAAAGATAGACGGGAGGAGAGAAGAGGAAGGGGGGGGGGGGGGGGAAGAAAAAAATAGAGGTAAAAAATGGGAGAAAATGGGAAGTCAGTTATTCTTCCGGTTGGCCTGCACTGTACCGTTAGCTATTACTCGCTTGGAGAGAAATATATTCTCCGGCCTTTTCCTGGCCTCACTCATCTCTAATTACGAATCAGAAACAACCTGGTGGGCCGTCGCCTTCGTTGGCCGGATCACCCCTTCCTCCACCATCTCCTTCATCCTTTTCTGTTCTCCACGGCCCTTTCTAGAGTCTTCCCGATTCTCATCCAAGCCTCGTAAGCAGTAACTTGCCTCCCTGACCCCCTTTCCTCTTTCTCTCTTTCTTAGTCTTTCTTTTATCCGGTCCCTGACGCTGCCCCAAGAGAATTCTTCGCTTCGCTACTTTTGTACGATCTTACCTACCTTCAATTCGCGATTTCTCGCCCATCGTTCTCCTTTTTCCTCGTTCCTTTCCCCTCCTTTCATCTCTCCTCTCTTTTCATTCTCCTTTACGAGAGGAAAATGCGTTATGTTTGTGTCTGTGTGTGTCGATATTTATATTTCATTGCTGCACGCGAAAATACGAGAATTTCCAATTGCTGTCTCGTCTCATTAGATTTGTTTTTTCGAGTTTTTAACTCGCCGTACGTTTTTCTGATTTACAACACACCGTCCATACTCGAGATATGTCGCGTCTATACGTTTACTTGATATAATGAAAAATCGACATATGACACGTGACATACAATTTCTTATCTTTCGCGGTACCAAAATAACATCGGACGTTGAACTCGTCGTGACCATATCGTTGTTTCATCGAACAGTTAGCAATTTGACGTTAATCTCACGACAAAATTTTCCATAGAACGTCCGATATTTCTGGCATTCCTTCCATCGCACTTACATGTGGCAGCTTGCAACGCAGTTTCCCTCGTTACTGGTTCAACCCGCCTTTTTCCATGCGAAATTACCTTACTTCCCTGAGACTATCGCGATCGTCCCCGCGGAGAAAACGGATTTTCACACTACGCCATTATGCAAATTCCTCTTAAAAGTAACCGCGGTCGAGCGAGATATTGAGAGACGGTAGCGCAGAAGCGTAGAAGGAAGGAGAAAGCCGGGACAGGGATCGAATTACTGAAGAGACGCGGGGGTGAAGACGGATCGTGGAAGGAGGAAAAAATGCGAGGGTAGAAAAGAATTATCCGATAATGCCGAAGGCTCGGCGGAATTATGAAAGGTGCTACCACACCTGGCCGCGCTCAGAAATGCGGTAGACGCGGCCGCTCAAATGCCACGGCGGAGCCGCGAAATGCCGCATAAACCGCACCTTCGACAGGAAAACTTGTTCGCGTTTTGTCCTTTCACGCGTAGGGGCTCGTTATTCGTCCTCCGTGTATGACGAGGGATTGATAAAAGCTAGATTTCATTTAGTAACGGACAACCTCGTTTGTTTAATGCACGTATAATATATTTTATTGCGTATACGTCACTCAATCGGTTATATGTTATATTGTATTATAAATGTATGACATTAGTGGAATATACATATTTCTTTGACATTATATTATGCGTTATATATCGGTGTCGTATAAAATATGTTGCGAAAAACGCAAATGTAATTGTCATGCACGATGAATTATTCCAAAGAAAAATATTTTGTTTCTTACGGAAAAAATATGTATTTATTAAAAATCGTAACTCTCTTTCTGTTTTAGATGTATGCCATTCTGGAAGTATTATTGTGTTTGTCGATTATATAAATATTAGATTAATATACATACTGAAAAGAAGAGTCTACCTGAGTCAAAATTTTAATTCTACTTTTAATCTCTTTCAAACTCAATTAAACCTTTCAAACTTTTTAAACCTGTTTTGTTTTCTTAAACAATTAAATAGAACCTTTTTAAATATTAAATAAATATTAAAATTATTTAACGGGCAACAAGCTGAAATAAAAATATTACCAATTACAAAGAGAAACAAAGAAGATATATTTAAATTAAAAACAACAAACGTTTCGATACCGATCGGGTCATTTTCAATGTTAACAAATTATTAAAATCTTAACGGAAATTTAACATAAATTATTATCTTTTTAGTGTAGTGCGTTTAAAATTATCATGTCTTTAGTTTAGTTTTAACTTAGTGTTTATTAAGATGCTTGCCGTAATGTTAGTCTCTTTTTAAATTACTTAATCTATAGCTTCTGTTTAGGAAACTTCTTTTGAACCTAAAAATACAAATTTTCTAATATGTAACTGACATTTACAGACTCAACGTAGGAGCTCAATTCATTAGATTAGAATTTATTATAACATATATAAATCTCTAGAATGTACACACGTCTTAAAACTAAAATTCAAAGTAGAAGCAAAATTTCGACTCGAGTAATAGCTACCAAATGTTGAATCAAATAATTTTAATCAAATATTTGGTTAATATAACTAAAATTAAATTTTACTTTTCCAAATATTTAGTAAGTATTACGATTGGTTACATTATTATGTTTGGTAATACTTGCTGAATATTTAGAAAAGTAAAATTACTTTTTATTAATCAAACATTTAATTGGAATTACATATTTCAACATTTGACTATTGAAGATTCTTTTGTTAACGTATGAAAAATTTATCTATGTATCTACGTATTTATGCATGATTATCTACATATAAAATTTCAATTCAATTTATTATATTTTATTTAATTTTGATTATGTTTTATACTCACCCTTATCAGGCCAGTTGTAATTTCTTTTTCTATCTAGTTCGGATGACTTTTGCTCCGATTTTCCAATTTCGTTCAGATTCGATTGAAACTTGGTACCTTGAAACAAAAATACGAAACGAATGTTTATGAAAAACATCGTATGTGTCAACATTACGTATAATATGATGCGGACAATAGGTTAATAATAAATATACAAGGATATTCCCAAGAAAAATATTTTCTCACGTGGAAAAGTCTACCGCGAACTGGCGACAATTTGTTTCCCGGATGTTATGGGAATGAATCCCGGACGTTATGGGAATAAATTAAAAATTCAATCTCGCTTCGAGATATTATAGTGCAAAGTCGTCGGTAGAACAGAGGAGATGAGATCTGAGAGAACAGAAGGAGCGAAAGGAGAGACTTGCGTGGTTCGCATAGCGGAACCACGGACAAAGGGACGTACAACGAGTGGCCCTCTCGACTGAAGATGTTTACGAGCCTGTTACGCATAAAGTGGGTGGCAAACGCGTTAACTAGTATGCAAACTCCGAGTAAACACAATTCCCTTATCCGCGCCAAGTAGATTCTATCCATGTCACGACACACGCTTGTCACAAGCTCGCTGCGTTTTGGATTACATTCTTGCAGCGAAACAGCTCGTGATGAGTATATATTTTATAATAAAATTACACACAGCCAGCCCTTACGTGTGTCAGTTTTATCATGTTATCGTGGATACGTGCTCGCCGTGTGAAGCACACCACTGTGGATGATATAAGTAAAAATAAATATCTTATTGCTCAAATGTACGTTTTTGTCTCTTTGTGTAATAATCATATAGATATAAATATACATTATGATTATTATTATTATTATTTAAAAGATAAAGCTTTCTCTTATATAACATCAATAAATAAAATTTCGATTTCTCTTATTATTAAGGAGATGCTGGAGTTACCGATGGAACGCGCATTCCGTATTTTTTCATTTACTTCGTTTTCCTTATACGGAATAAAAAAAACCTCTTCTGTATGGAAAAAAATAATAAAAAAAAATAGCCGTGGAAAAATACAAATCTGTATTTAAAAAAATAAAAAAATTGTAAATTACGGTTTCCTGTCATCATGTAGATTATTTCTTCATACATGTATAAATGAATTCAAGTATAGATATATCTAAACAAAAAGTACTTTCTTACATTTGAATAATGTATAAGAATATAATGAGATCTTCAAATTATGATTTGGAAGCTCATAAGAGAATCAAAAGTACGATCACACACTGCATATACATAAGCATTTATGTATAGGATATAGCAGAGCAAAAAGTATACGTAGTTTTACTTAATGATTTTTTTAATGTAACGTTTTATTTAAAAATAAGAATCTGTTTTATCGACATTGATCAAGTTCAGCCGTAGCTTTAGGATCCCCTCAAATTATTATCTTTTCATTTATATTTATTTTTTTCTTTATTCTAACAAAGAAAGAAGCACAGCCTATAACAGTCAAAGCTGGATCAAAGTTCTATAATTTGAATAAAGTTATTATAATTTTATGATTTTTATATACTACATATGTAGTCCCCTTTAATGTATTCTTTATTCTAGTTGGAAAAGGTAGTAACTATAATGTACCACTGTGCCAGACATTACGATTCGACTTTAAATTAATCATAACTTTTTTTATACTTATTAAAATGTCACTGCAACATCTGGCACAACGACACATTATATTAACAATTATAAACAGTTGTTACATATAAGTTTTGCCATTTTTCCAAGTTCATCTGTATTTTGCATTTAAACAGATATTGCGCATTCCTTGTTATTTATCGCAAGATTACAATCGTTCTTCACGCATCAATGTTTGCTCCATCAATTTTCTAAATCCGCATAAACGCGGGTAAAATTTACATGTCATCGTATCAAGTTAGCTGAAACGCTACCGGTAAACGCAGCTTTACTAACGTGAAGAACGAGCGGGTCAAAAGCCGCGTGTAGAGCGAGCTTCCGGCTTAATTTTGAGGTACCTACGAAGCAAGGTGCTTGCGAATATCGCTTTGTGTCTTCATTCCCTCGCGATTAGATTTGTAAGTTCATGGCCCCGCGGCAGTACTAGTCAGTTTAGGTAAGGGACAAGGCGAGAACTGTGAGGCAATGCAGGGAAAGCACACGATCTTGGCACGATAGCCTATTTTGGGTAAGGTAATGGGCGATCATGACGGCGTACGCGCGCGCTTGCGTAGGTCGCTTGTACGCTCGTGTGTATAATACCGAGCTGATAGTACAGAGTAAGGTCGTCGTCACCGCCACCGCCGCCGCCGCCACTACGCCGGATACACCCTCGGACAACGAGGTGAGACAACCGTTGTACGGCGACGGAATGGATAGGCTAGACAGACGTATGCAAATCTCGGCCAAACATTAGCAGTGACAATGTGTAACGTGCGCTGTACGTATATCTATGCGCCTGGGCCAGTTCTATAGTTTCCTATATGCGAGAATCTCTATCACGATGTGGCTGTTTCTGTAACTATGCGTGGGCGACGACGTGTTTAGGGAACCAGCCTTCACCGCGCGAGCATAGACGCGTGTAAAGCTCCACGGGAGCGTGTAAGCTTCGTTATCTCTAATAGTTCAGGATTTCGTTGCGAAGCGACGAGCAAGAGCCAGTCACGATAAAATTGTGCGTGAAGAAATTGTCAAGCAAGAAAGACGGTTAAGAGAGGGAGAGAGAAAGTGTCCATCAAAGGCGTATATACTTGAAACAAAAACGCAGATATCAACAGAATTGATGTGTGAAATTTTGTAATAGCTGCGTCTGATATCATTGATCCCATGTAAAATGGTCAGGCAAATTAAAATACTCACTTCGTCATGAATTCACCCGTGGAAAATAAACGTGCTGAAGTGCACATTATTATTGTTGATCGACACGTTGCGAGCTATTAACCTGGCGGGAAAATCCGACACTCTTTCGCGTTGCAATAAAAGGAGATAAAAATATTGATAAACGTTGTTTTCAGACAATCTGACCTGAAAATTCGTTTATCGCATATAAATCTACGATATATGTTGTTATATTTGGTGTCTTTTCGAAATAAGAATTTTGAGATATTTCGAAGAGAAGAGCACACAAATTGCAATTTCTAAAGATTTAATTTGTCAATAAATCAGTATTTTAATATTGGACATAGTTCGTAATGTAATAAAGAGGATGATGAAGGGAATGAAATCGATGTACTTAATATGATAAGTTTCTCACGACAATTTGATAGTATTTAATAAAATATTGCAGCACTATTGCACAAAAGTGTTTCATTTAGAGTAGTCCTTCACTCGAGACTGACTGACAATGAATCGTGCGGAAGATTATATTGGGTTATAAAAAAGAAAATAAAAGATAAAGCTCTTGGTGGCCATGCATCGATTCGATCGTCCCGTTTGGATTTGATAATCCCGGATTCTGGCGATTCTGCTGTCAGAAAGAAACTACTGTCGACACAAATAAGTCCCCCCCCCCCCCCCCATCATTGATTTTACGTCCAGTAGGTCATGATATTCCTGCTCACACGTTCGCACGATTCCAGGCTGACGGGTCAGTGCAGACGCGTTTAACTATTTTCGATGAGATTGTGGATTTAGCTTTCCGTTCTGCATTCCATGAATATCAAATCGTCTCGGTGTTGACGCGTGCGTGTATATTTGCCTTGGAATATCAGACAGACCCGTACACGCGATAAAGTCAATGATATATTCCTTGTTCCCGCAGGTGATTGACCGCGATCGAGAAAATTAACAGAGAGGTCTAAAGTCCCGCACGCTGAGATCCAAAGTTATACGGCCGTGTCATGCGGCGCGTAATATTGTCACGACGTCACGAGCGCGTTCTAATTAATGTGCCTTTACAATGTTAATTCGGGTCGTAAATAATTTCGCGCGGTAGCGACAGAGAGTGCAACGGCGACGTGACGAATAAACACGATAAAATGATTTTCGACTTGACGATTTGACGAAGCGATTCGATCTCGCCTTACAAGTCACAAGTGCAACAAGAGCGCGTGATGTTAAACGGCGCTTTTACGCACCTCTATACTCCTTCACCTCTGTACGTGCGCGCATACAATAGAATAGGGGACGTGTTAATCGTACGAAAGCACGCGGCTAAACCAATCGCTATACATGCTCTCCCGGAATTACAGGCGGACAACGCTGCGCCAGGGAATTAAGCGACACCTAAGGGCATATGTGCTCCGGGAGATGTCACGATACCGCGACAATACTTGTCCGGTTTCCCATCGGAACCTCAAAGTGACTTATCGCCGTAAGCTGCGTGCACCGCCGCTTCTATACGTAATTTGCCATTCGCGAATGCGCGCGACGCGACTTAAGAGACAAACGGAAATGAACGAGTGCTCCGCAATGCACAATGATTCTAGTTCCTTTAAAAGCTGGCCAAAACGTCGTTTATCAAATTATGATGAACTTCTTTAAATAATTTTATTGTATTATATACTAAAAAATTATAGAACTAATTAATTTTCTAAGTTATTTCTTTGTAGAATTATCATAGTTTTCTCAAGCATGTAATATTTGTTTCTATTTTATTTTTTCGGATACAATTTATGTAAGAGTAGTCAATTTTAGGCAAATTAAGCGTTGATATATTTAACATTTATTTCTTCTAATTCAATAAGTCATTTAGAAATTTTCAAAAAAGTCCGACGATACCTGATTAAGATCTTATTTTTAACACAATGTCTTGAATTTTTTAAATTCTCTACAGAAACAAATTGTACATCCTTACTTCTTTTACCGATATTGTAAAATATTCAATAGAAACATCTAACATATTTATCACGATAAATGAATATGTAATATATTATCTGTATATGTAGATGTTGTTGCTCTATTAAATTTTAAAATCAATTTTACAGTCAAAACGTCAAGTGTTTTTAATAATGATGATAGCGAATAACTTGTAAGGTAAATTTTTAAAACATTATCATGACTTTATTACACATTATATGTATGGAATTTCTATTATTTTAAATTACAAAAACCATTTTAAACAAAATTTGTTTAAAAATTAACATAAATAATATATACAAATTTTGGCTAAGTTTAGAGATTGATAGAATCATTGTGCAATGGCAATTATACTGTGACTTAACGTATACTTAACGTATGCAAAAATTAAAGAAAATATCGAGAAAAAGAAGCTCTCAAAATTGTATATCTTCGTCAATATACGCTTCAATAATATATTGACATAATGTGCATCTGATATGTGTGAATATAAAATTTTTATATTGTTTCGTATTGTAACTTTTGGCGAGCAAAGTCTACCTTTTCTCGTGTAATGAATAACACCGTCTTCCTACTGGGAAAAGTTAAAACGCACCACGTTATGTTTAGATATTCTCGACAACAGATTGTCGTAAGTTACTACGAGCAAATAAGGCCTGTTTATGCTTGGGTTTCCGTCCGCGTGAAGGAAACTCAAGCAAATCTTCCGTTTAATCTTAAGCGTACACTTGCGCCCTTGAATTTTCAACGATACGAATAACGAGAAATAGCGGCGCAAATAGGCGGCGACCGCTAGATTGTTTAAAGAGGACATTACAAAAAGACGACAAGGTAGCGAGGCGGAGGACTGAGATAAATTATCTCAGGGAAAAAATGTACTGCGAAATACGAGAGAGCTGTTAGAATCGTAACGAGCGTAACCGTAGATATAAAAAGAGACGCCGGCAGACTAAAAGGGAATAAGTCAAACAGATATGTTAAGGAAAGAAGATGACATAAAAATAAAGTGCTTAAAAGAACTGGGAGAAATGGAAGCAGACACGGTTAAATGTAACTAGGATAAGGAGAGGAGAAAAAGAAACAATGCGATAAGGGAAAAAGGCGATTCTCTCGGCGAGATCGAGGGGAGGAACGGAGGAGAGGGAAACAGAGATGAGGGCGAGCGAGCACGAAGGGAGCAAACATTAATGCCACCTTGCAGACCGCAGATGTTGCACCAATTACAAACCTCATCCTTCCTTCGCAGCCCGTCCTTTCCTTCCTCCCGACCTCCGCAAATAGAGAAGGAGAGAGACAAGGAGACATATGCCGTATTCAAACTTACCACGTCTCGTCGCATTCACCATCTTCCTCTCTCTTCGCTCCTCAGGCCCCCCCCCCACTCATCTTTTCACTCTCACCTTTCCGCCGTCTCTCAACCCGCCCCCGGGGCGATGACATTGGTTATACGGGAGGAGACACACGGTAGACACAGTAGAGACGGCGAAGCTCAACGAGACACGAATTTTCGATTAAATTTAACACAGGGCGCAAAAGGACGCCAGGGCGCTGCACGTTGCTGTTTTAGGTGATAGAGCAAAGCGAAGGACAAAGAAAGAAATAGAGGGGCGAGGAGGGAAGGGGCGTGGATGGGGACGGAGAACGCGGTCTACACAGCGGCGGCTGATATTATTCTTGGGTCTTCCTCGCTGGAGCATTATTAGTTCCGGCGTGTTAGCATACATGAAATATTGATGTTACACGGATCTCTTCTACCCAAGTCAACCCCAGTTCCCGGTTCCCAGTTCTCTCTCTCTCTCTCTCTCTCTCTGTTTCTTTCTTGCTTCTATCTATTCATCTATCCTTTCTGCTCTTGCATATAACCACCACTCATGTGTGTATGTTACGAACATCACTTCAGTTGCCTCTCTGTTACCTTTATGTTTATTCTGCCATTCTTTTTATTCTTCACACTCGTTCCTCACCTAAACTTTTTCGACAGTCACTTCCGCGTTTTGATTTTCTAAGTAAACACTTGCAGTTTTCTAAAGTAGCGCGATATATTAAATTGAAGTCTTTTTTTTTTCTTTAAATCTTCTTTGATAGATTTAATCTATAAAATTGGTTTCAATTCTTCTTTTGGAGATATGAATATCACTAATAATGTTTATAATTGAAAGTACGAAATACTTTAATAATACGTCGTGTGGTTTAAAACAGTTATGTTCTCATTTCGATCATTTTGTATAGTAAAAGAAAGATTCGTTCTCGGAAAATTCCAATTGTTATCCCGTTACAAACCTCATTTCCGTGGTTCTCTTTTGCCCTCTGTAGAGAGCTTTAAAGCGAACTGCTTACCCTTCTTCAAACCACTCTTAAAGCCGCAATCGATTCCTGGGATTCCCCGGTGGGTCCCCTGGCTCTAGTTAACATTGAAGTTAATCGCGTCGGAGATTCAAAGTATGTTGCTGGAAAATCCAGTTATGGGATGGCATTTGACTATACTACGTGATGCTAGATTGAATATGTAAATCCGTTCTAGCTAGATTGCGATTTTACTAACGTATAGGGTACACAGGTTGAAACTTTTGAGTTTTTTCATGTATCCACCAAGATAAGATGTCTCCTAATGATGATAATAAACGATTTATAAATATATTAGAATATCTCTGTACATTTAATGCACATAATGCTACAATTAACGATCCTTCATAATTCGTGGAAAATATTTCACTTAACAGATTTCTCCTTTTATCATTCTTGACATTACGTCATTTCTAAATTCTGTTCTCTGTCTCATTATTTCTCCCATTTTTTGAACGTGTAAGAAACATCTAAATGATTGATGTGTTCTTTTCAAATAAAGATATATAAAAGATCCAAGAGAATACTTTTACCAAATATATCTCGAGTGCTTGTTATTCTTCGTATATTATACGCTCGCATGACAGCCGACGAGTGCACCACTTCGTTGAAATGCGAAGTTGCGAAATCAATCCCATAATTCGCAAAATTGCGATGATGTACGTTGGAAATTACATAAAAAGAAGATATATGCCGCTCTGAGTACTCACCTGTCTTGATATTCTTCTCATTTTGAATTGTCAGCGAACTTGGATTTCCGTAAACAGAGTTATTCATCTCCGCCATGAATTCCCAATCTGCAAAAGTAAACGCGCGTTGGAAAATTAGATTCAAGCTAGTGAATACGACATGAATAATATCAATTATAGTATATATGACAGCAAGTCTTATGACGTAATTCTAATGAACTACAATAATTTTGCAATTTTGCAATATTTTATGCATATAACCATCGTCAGGAATCTGTCTCTAATATCTACCTTTTTTAGGAACCTCCGTGGTAGACGGACTAGGACTGGTGCTTGGTGGTGCAGACACTGTAACAAAATAAGTTTCTATCTTTAAAAATCGTATATACGTTACAAAAATTCGAAATATTCGTATATTTCTCAATCGTACAAAAAGTCTTTCATCATTCATCATTTTTTTTCGTAATTTTCGTGAAAAAGAACACAATTATTTTCAATGTTTCAAAGAGACGTACGTGCTTTCTCAAACCCTCATCCTCGATTCCAATCTACAGTACGCTCGCGTATTTCTTTTTGTTTTCGTTCCTATTGTTACCAGCCTGTCCCGCGACTGCTTACATTTTTTTTTACGTGGATTTAAGGAAGGTAAGAGAATATTCATTATTTTGAATCGTCGCGTTTATTTTTAAAGTAATTCGAGAAATCACATAAAACAACTATAGAATTAAAATGAAAACGGACCATGTAGGATTACGTGTTATAGTTATACCTATGTTATACATACATATTTACACGCAACCAGACAAAATACTTTTGTCCTCCCAGATTGGGTAAATTCTACACAGTGCGATATTATGGATCGCGCCACCTGTTACTAACTTCTCTCCCGGAACGTATTAGCCGCTGTAACGCCGGCCAAGCCGGCCAAACTCTACATCATATTTTACTCCGGTACTACCGACATCCGCGCCTTCCACCCCTAAACACGCCTCCACGCGTAACTTATCCGAGTGTATATACCTGAATAATTATTCGTAATTTCGTCATTTGTCTTTAGCGAATGCGTCGTCGACGGAATTTATTACTGGCTACAACTGTCCGCGGCTGGACGTGCTTACTGCTTACTATAGAAATTTCAACTAAAAATTTTGCAGAATATGATATTAATTAAAATTAGCTAGTATTGATAACTTTGTTATAATTGTTACGCTCATTGCTGAACATATGAGTATCGGTATCGCATTAGCAACACTATATAATTATTCAGTCTGTTTCTATTGCTAGAAAATTTACTTTAATTATATGCTATTATAGTACATTTTTATTCTTTTATGTATAATCAGATTTTTTTAATAGACATTCAGGAAGAGTAGAGGAATTGCAAACATCTAGGAAAAAAATTTATAAATCCGACGTTTATTTATAATTTAAAAAGTTTCGATTTAAAAGATACCAATTATATGGCTTTAAATATAATTATATCCTTGGAACAAAAACTTCTATAATTGATAGGTAATTGAGAGTTTCATTTAATTTTTCCTTAGGTACTTGCAATTTCGATTCTACTCAAAATTATCGAAAACATGTAATGTTATTTAACAACGTATACTATGGCCACGTATATACAGTGTGGCACTAAGCGTAGTATCGGACTACTACTGGATATACGCGAGAAATGAGAGATTATTACTACTCCTCTAATATATTGCAATAGAATATTGTTCACATTTACTTCGTGTACATATATTTCCTCTATACTATAAGTATTTTTAATCAACTCTCTATTTCTAATTAAATTTCTGCACGATATGGAAAGCAAAGTCTTGCTGAAACAGGCTATCATAATATATTTCAATTCAGGTGTATTTGAAAAAAAAAAAGCGCAATATAAAATAAAAGGATTAAGAGCCAGATTTTGCACATGAGAAGTATGTTCTCTTAATATATCAATATGAACACAAATGCTACATTAAATATCCGTTCTGGAAAATGAATAAATTATCTATCCCGCGCAGAGTTCCGCACGATTATTCCTTTGCTCTACGCCATTCTACGGCATAAGTTTAAAGAGGCATAATTTAATATCTATTGATAGCCTCGATACGGAGGATGTGTCCACAGCGAAAGAGGTCATTGCTATTTGTCACAAGCACCTGAGCGATTACTAAGCGACAAGGTTGTAGAGAGGGTGCACGCGATGCACGCCGTGAAGGTGCGTTCTCCCCAAGGTAAATAGGATAGGATGACAAAGTATGCGCCTCAGCAGACGTGTTTACACACGCGAACGTAATGCAAATATGTAGCCCCTGACGTCTTTTCCGTAAGATAATACCTAAATGACTTTCAACCCCCGTTTTACTTGTGTTCGAGTGGCGATGTTTACCGCAAAAATTACAACAATGACGTGTCGACGTGCAACTTTATCTCGCGACGTGTGTCACCGTACACACGCACGAGATGGGAGGGGGGGGGGGGGGGGGAAAAATTTGTATTATCGAAAATTGGATGGCGAGACACTGAATTTGCGATTGTCATTGTCGTTCATAAGCTTCTCCACGTATAAAGATCAATATTTCAATATCTGTGCAAACAAATTACGATTGTTGCCATCAAAATTGTCATCGTTCGTCATTGTGGTTATTATGAGGCTACTATCCAGTTTTATAGATATAAATATGGCACGCACGGCGGATGAAATTCATTTATCATTTTTGCAAGTCACCGATGGAAGGCAAAGAGATTAAAGCTGAGAGCGCAATGAGGAAAAAGCGAGAAGGCAGAAGAAAGTAAGAGAGAAGAGAACGATAGAGAGGGAAGAAGGAAAGGAAGAAAAAAAAGGGCAAGAGGAAAAGAGAGAGAAAGTAAGGCAGCGACTTTTCACCTTTGATTTATCGCACTAACTTTTATTTTCCTCAGGAGATATTAAAACCCGTTGTCCTGACCATTTAGCTTCACTGAGCTGATTGATGATTGGACCAGTTAACGTGTCGACCTCCGTCGACGAATCAGCTCTTTAATTATGCCCAATTAATATGCATTTGTAGCATACTAGAGTCTAGAGATTTAGGTGCCAACCTGATCAAAATTTAATTCAGAGGCGGTCGCAACTTTGCAAGATTCGTTGATCGTCAATAATAAATGTTCAGACGCAGATATAAATGTAGAAATGCTCTTTAATTTAGTGTTCTGTCACAGAAAAATTAATAAAAAAAGTTAATAAAATCTAGTAAAGATACAGAAAAGAAATATACAATATATATACTGATTTTCTACATATATACCTACTACTTGTAAAATTTATACGAAAAGTCAGCTGTCCAAAAATGCATCGATTTAAAAATAATTATCGGCAGTCAGCGTGCTAGGAAAATTCATTAAAATTTTAAAATGCCTTAATTAGTCTAATAGCATCATCCCTTTTCATCGGTGCATCACTAAACGATCTGTTTCCCCTTTTCTCGTTCGCTCATTTGCCTTCCGTCTAATTTCTCCTTGCGTCTTGCGATGAGTATACGCAAGACGTTCAGATGTCTAATGTAAATGTTATTCACTAAGCGAGTAATTTTGTTAGCGTATCTTAGTTAGCACTATATGAATTACATACAATTCGGAAACCAATGTTAATAATCAAAAGGAATCTACTTGTAGAACGTTAAATATGTACATCAAGGTTTGCAAGTTTAAAGTATTAAAATCGATTCACGAGGGATAAAATACGTTATAGAAGATTCAAAATTAAATAATAATGGCAATTATTAGTTTTTAACAAAATATCATTCAAAGTATTAGAAAAACAAAGCTTTAGAAATAATTGAATTAAAGTTTGTAATATCCATATAACGTCTAAGATCGATATTTATAGTCAGTTCTTATGTTAAAAAATTGTCTTAAATAATATTTCAAATAATATTGGTAATATGGCTTTATATTATTGGTTTATGACCTCTTAAGACTGTACTTAAGATAATCTTAAATATAAGAATCGCGACTATATGGGTATCGGTCTTTAGACAAGCGTGATATGTAGAACAATGTAATTTTAAAATACAAATTACTCCAGAAGGGAAACTACTTAGAAACTTCTTTAATTTATTTTAACATCATTTCTTAAGCGAAAATATCCAGCGTAATCATTGTTCATCATACTTTTTTGATTTCCAATCTTATATTTAAAAATAGCTTTAGTAAGCTACACTTAAATATCCATTTAAAACTGATTAAAGAAAATGATTTCATTTCTTATTTCTTTTTCTTTTTTTTTTAGCGTTCGCCATAGGTTTCTTATATTTGCAATTATTAATTCATCGAAAATCATTACAGTTTCTCGATATCTTTATGAGAAAAGATCAATTCCGAATTAGTCAAAGAGTCGATAATAACTTTCAATAAATGGCCCGAACTTTTCAGACCTCATAATTCGTACCGTATCGTACATTCTTTATCTCACGTATCGCAGTACGGCGTAGTTATTATACGCGGTCTAAATTGTAAATCATTTAGAGCATGCGTTAGGCGTTAGGCGACCAGGCCGATGGCCACCAATTGTCAATGCTGCCATTATTGCGGTTGGACCGCGATCATTAACTAAATCGACGACAGATCCGTAGGAAATAATTTGCCGTAGGCGTCATCGAATCTCGGCGCAGCACGACAAGCAGGAAATTACCAGGCTTCGTCGAGTTACGATCGCGTAACCTAATTCCGTGAAACAATGGTAGTAGCGGGCGCGCTGACCCGCTTTTGTCAGCAGCTGCCGCTACATGTCTGTAATTACTCGCGACGAAATCTCTCACTAACATATCGATCGAAGATGGTTCGGCCATTTGATTCAATTAGCGATTGGAGAAGTAGATATACAGGTGGTATTAGCAGATCCTCGGACGATACAACTTCGATCCCGTCGACCCTTGCCCCTTCGTAAACACGAAGTCAAAGCCCTCTTTGATAATTATCAACCTACGGCTCGTCACAGTAACGCGCCTTGTGACGCATCGATCCATTAACGCGTCAACTGGGTCAGTCTCAAGGCGGATGTTGTGACGATCCGCGTTGATATCCCATGGGATTATCAATGTCGCTGGTTGGAAGAGTAGCTTGGTTTCCTACCGACGTGTTCCACACGTGATAAAACAATGTAAAAGGTATATCGCGTATATCAGTTTTCCTTTGACAGATCTGCGAATGATTCCGAGCAGTTTCTCCGTGGGATCTTTTCACGATAGGGGTTCCTGCGTTTTGTCGGGTCTCCAAGTTAATAGGATCCCGTAACGATCAGAAAGGGTTACGGTGGGCCATATAACGTAGTTATAATTCTATCAGGAACTGCCTTTGTTCGGGACCGTATTTCC